AATATGCCAGCCAATCAATTTTCAGCAAAACAACTGCACTCCTGATGGAAAGCAATTCTTTCAAAAGAAAACAGAAGAGGGCAGGAATAAAACAAGCAAAATGCCTCTTCATAACCAAGCCTGGTTCTTTATAATCGTTGTTTCTTTGAATCCTCCAGGGACTTCTTGAGTCAAACTAAGTACAGCTCAGGCTTGAATCATCCAGGATCTCACATCCAAGACCTGTCAGCTTGATGATCACTGTTTCTGCTACAGAAACAAATGGCTGCTGTGTGTCAGCACTGGGGAAGAAAAGAAGGCTAAGCCTCCCTTGACTCTTCCCTTCCCCACCCCCACACTTCTCCTCTTCATTCTTTCCCCAAAGGCCAAAGAAACCAAACACACTACATGTCAGCTTCAGAACATTTTACAGTAGGGGTTAACCACCTTTTCAAAGTATATGTCAAATTTCTCATTCTATCCTTCTGGCACATTTATCAAGAGACAGAATGCTAACTAGGTGACAGTCCTCCAGTGGAGAAAGAGAATTGTTACATGGATTTACAAAACAAATAGATAAATGAAAATTAAACACCCACATCACTGCCTAAAAATGCCCTCACTGTAAACACCCACCACCAAACTTGCTTTATGCCCTAAGAAGAATAATACCCAAAATGCTTAAATTTAGATAAAAGAAATACATTAAATATTGGGGGGGTGGTGTTCAAGGCAGGGTTTCTCTGTGGCTTTGGGGGTTGCCCTGGAACTAGCTCTTGTAGTCCAGGCTGGTCTCAAACTCACAGAGATCTGCCTGCCTCTGCCTCCCAAGTGCTGGGTTTAAAGATAAGATCTGAATCAAATTGAAGCCTAAGTTGCCAGAGCAGGCCTTTTCAAACACATACATTGCTTACTAAAATAAGTCAGCTATGATGCTTTTATGCACCTGCATACACACACACACACACACACACACACACACACACACACACACACACACGCACACACACAATTGCAGCTCAGCATAAGCAAATAAAAACAAACAACAAATAAAAATAATTTGTTAATACAAATGATCTTTCTTTGAAACTCTACCCAGTAGCTCTTCTCTTTCTCTAGATTCACTTTGAATGACCTCAGCAGAAAAGGTTAATGTCAATACACATTGCCAGGTACAGTTTTCACACACAGCTTAGCTCCAGAAGAGGTGCCTTAAGATGAGAACCCAGGAGAGTTGTTACCATGGAGGAACCCCGTGGCTAATTCAGTACCATGATGAACCTGCAGAAGGTGCCAGGGCTGTAGTTGGTAAGAGACAAACAGGTATCTCTCTTTCAATAGTTCAGCAAATAGATTGTGGCAAGTTAGGGCTGCTATAACAGCTAAGAACAGTCCAAAGACAATGACTAGATAACACATCTTGAATATTATCCACTGTGGAAAAAAAAAGTGTAACAATAGGATCAGACATTTAAATTTGTATGGCAGATAAAATAAGCATGGCCAGCCAGAGCCTTAAAAAAAATCTTACAATAATCCCATGGGGGGGGGGCAGTGAGAATAATTAAACTGAATTTTAGGGTCTAACTCTAGTGGATTGTTACATTTAGATTTATGACAGTTTTGAAATCAACTCAGGTTTTTTTTTAGGGGAAACACTCAATGAATCATCTATGAAAGAATTTCAAGAGAAAATGTTCTTTGGTAGGTGCAATTAAACAGAAGACCTCTAAGAGTTAGCAATACATCGAGAACTCTGCTGGATTATCAAAACTTTCCCAAGTTCCTTAATAGTCAATGATAAATCATGATCTTAAATAAAAGACATACCCATTCCGACAGTTTCCAATCAAAATGAATTCAATAGCTAATTAGACAAGTCCTTCAAGATAGTCAAGTGGATTATTTGGTTTAAATAGCAGATAAAATCCTTTGTTTATTCTTTACCTAAAGTCATTGTGGTATCCATCAGTTCCTCTAGAGGCCAGAACAGAGATCCCAGGTGCTGGAGTCATGGCTGGATGCTGGAGCTGCCTGTCCCCTTCCCAACTACCACTGTCTTTTTCTTCTACATGAACTGATACAAAAATTAAAACATAAAATTATATTTTGTTCTTAGAAACATCCTTAGAAATAAAGATCCCTTGTGTCACATTTTATGAACTAAAACCCGTAAGTGTTTAGTGATTCGCTTAAGGCTCCTGTCTTGTTTGCCTCAACTCCAACTCTAGAATTATAAAAGTAATGATTAAGTGGGAAAGGCAGTTTTTAATAAAACATTTCATTCTGCCTCTTGCACACAGTTGCATACATTGATTCTAAATAATATGCAAGTGTTTTCCTTTAAAAAAAAAAAGTAAAAGAAGTCCATCATTGTTAAAACCCACTTCTGACAGGTTTGCAGAGAAATCACGCATTTCTGGAACTATCTTTATTCCACAGCATCTGACCCTGTTAACAACTTAATTCAGTCTTTAGCATTTAATACAATAACTGAGGAGCATCTAAAATAAAGGAAAAGATGATGAAACTCTCAGTTAGAACCCAGAAAGGAAGAAACATTACTTCGAATAAAACCAAGTAATTGGAACTCCTTAAAACTATGTAAGAGAGGAAAAGAATTGGGGGGAGGGCATATTTTCTGGAAAGCCCTTATTAGCTCTATCTTTCATTATCATATGATCATTTTCTTACAATATGAACTGATAGAAAATCTTCATGGCAGAGTTAAGTTTCACAAAAGGAAATAAAAACACTAGAGACCAAGACTGATGTTTAAAAAAAAATCAATGGCATCATTAAATAAGACATGACTATCATCAATAAATTCTACGATGCTCTCAGCCTTAACATAAATGGAGTTTCTCCCCATGTGATGCGATACATGGGGTATAGATTCCAAGTTATACCAAAGACTAATTAAACAGATACACAGCAGATGTAATTGAATTCAGCCGTACTACCCATTTGAGAAGATTGGCTTTAAGAGTCAGGTTTGCCTGGTACGATTTTCTATAGCAGTTAAATACAAGTGGAATCTCCTCTGTCCAATTCAGGGAGGCCCTGAAACTGGAACCAAAGATGCCCCAGGAGGTCACTGTGCTATGTCACATGCCTTCTGCAAAAGCTTGCGCTATTTAATATTTAATGAAATGCCAAACCCCAGATGTCAGTTCACTGTGACACATTATATTTAAAATGTAGCATTTTGAAGTTCAGGACCCACCAGCCAGCTAAGTCTACAAGTTTTCAACTGAATCGTATAAAGAAAGGGTGCTTCTGAAAAAAAAAAATCACTGGATGTAATTTTGATGTGGAAAGGCAAACACTCAGGCTGGTTAGTGTCGTAGCCTTAGAACGTCCTTGGTGACTCTGATAAGGCAGGGTTTCTGAGTTTTTCTCTGAACTTAATGGTAATAACTATTACACCTTCATTATACCATCTTCTTAGTCTATTCTTGGAAAGCACTTTGCCCTGCTGACATATCTTTTTTTTTTCATCGGCAAATTTATTTAAATTAAAAAAAAAACTCAGCAAAACAAGTAGAATGTAGGCATTTGAGAGATTTTGTTTGAGTCAATTTGAACACACATTCATCACAACAGAAATCACAGAGGGTGTGAATTAGACTCGGTGTGTATTGATTGCAAGAAAGTGTTCAAGGAATAGCAGTCCAAGCAATGCTCTTTAAACTCCCCCACCCCAGTCTCTACATTTCAGAATTACTCCTCATGCAAGCTGGCAGTATTTTTTTTAAATGTGCGCCACAAATGTTAGTTCAATTTGAGAATACATCAAGGAAGCTAAATTTAGGAAACATAGACTGTCACTACATTAGAATAGATTATTCAGGAAAAAAGAATTATAACTTGGAAATATCTCTGAAACTCAGAGAACACTCTGTAAAAACATTATAGCAATACCGTTCAGGCAAACACCAAAGAAATATAATTGGCATTATTGTGTTATTGTCACCACATGAGTTTTCAACTCTCAGCTTTCATCAATCACAGCAGGGTTTTTGTCATGTAGAAATAATTCCCATGGCTTTCAGTGCCAAAGAAATTTGGATCTAAATTATTTATTAGCCAATGCTCAAAAGGTATAAATGGAATACATTCATAGCTAGACTTCAAAAGGCCAGAAGGAAAAAAGAAAATGTGCTTCAGGTACAAGTTCATAAAGATTCTTGCTCAAGAAGATAAGAAATAATTTTTAATTTTTAAAATGTAGATCACACATAGCTTTCATCTCCCTCCCCTTCATTTGGGCACATAAACTCAGTGCTCTTGGCAGGGAGATGTTTTCTCTCCTCGCCCTGAGGCAGTTCCTGGATTTTAAATCTATTGGGTCCTGTCTAAGCCTCACCAGGAACCCTGAGCACTGACAGGTACAAGAAACATTTTAGTTCTCTGCTATTTTAAAGTCAATTTACAAATGTCGCCATGTGGGTATTTTTTTTTAATTCTACAGGTATTGCTGCTGCTAGCTGACAGTAAATGAGACCCCTAACTTAATAACAAAATTATGAACATACATCAACTTCCTCCTACAAACAGCATGTTTCATCACAGGTAACTGTCCAGAAGTCGGAACTGTAGCATTAATCATGAACATCCACTCCAACATAAACAACTACTTTCAAACAAGCCAACCTTTTCTTTCTTGAAAGGATTAAAATATACAGGCACACACAAAAAATTATTGAAAAAAACAATGACAACAACAGAACATATTCTAACCACCTACGAGATAGAACGGCTCCTTCAAATAACAGAATCAATCAATTACATCTACAATATTAACCTCTGTATAGACCCGGGCTGGTAATACTGAGCAGATCGGACGTGGTGGCTATACTCACAACAAACCAAGTACAATGGAGCTAGCACTTCACACAACACCATCTGGTAAATCTTTTGCATCCAAGAGTAAAGAAGCATGCAAGGTTTACTGTCAGCCCCGGCATGTGAGAAGGACCAGGAGGATGGAGGGGAGGAGGGTGTAGGAGAGCGCTTACTTCGAAAATGCTCAGAAGCATAGTAATACACATCCTCATAGCCCTCCTGGTAATCCTCTTCCGGGCGGTACTTTTTCCCCTTTCTTCTTCTAGACCTCCGAATCTGCTTGACGAATCCCAGGAAGCGGTCCATGACTGGCTCCCGGGGCAGAGCTGCGCAGCCAGCAGCAGAGCGGACAGCCCAGCTGCTCTGCAAGTCGGTGGAGCATGAATGACCCTCAGGAAGCCCTGCTACTGGGACACATTACCCTCCAGCCTTGCTCCCTGTGTCCATCAAAGCCAAGAGTTCAGCCGCAGCAGGGGAAAACATAACAGCGATAAGGGAGTACCTTGGTGAGACTTCTCATTTAGCCCAAGAAACTGTCAGATCTGCTATATTTTTTTTTAAAGGATGGGTGGGGCAGAGAAAGAAAGTGAGATAACAAAAGTAAGATAATACCAATTAAAAACAAACAGCGGAGCTGCGGGCTTCAACTTGCTTCCATACCAAACAAAAGTTCAAGATATTTCATTCAGCTGAAGCAAGAGGCGTCCGGGCACTAAAATGTCACTACCCAACACCTCCATCACCAGGGCGGGTGGGGAAGCTCGCTAGTCACTGGACTGAACCAAAGCTAGGGACAACCGGCTTTCCCCACCAGCAACCTACCCACTTCGATTAACATTCCTTTGCTCAGAGCACAGCTGGCACTTGGGAAACTTCCTAGAAAGCTACAGTTTGGGCAAAGAGAAGGCTGGTTAACTCTTTGGGCTCTTGGTAAGCCACACTAGTGATCTGCGAAGTGGTTTCATCCATATGTACAGCCCTCTTGCTGACTGAGTGTGCTGTATGTGTTAATTGGAGCAGCAGGGAGAAGCCTAGCAGCTGCTTTCAAAGGACACATTTACCCCACTGGGCATTAATGTATTCCAATCGCTGTTTGATCTAAATATTAAAATGTGCTTCTCAGAGCTTCTCACCAGCTTAGTAACAGTGCCCGCCCCACAATCAGCAAATAAAGGAAGCTGCATGGTTTTCAGAGAAGGGGAACACAAATGATTCAACTTTGAGTGCATGCAACTCAAGTATGACACAGGCTGAGCTGTCACACAGCTTAACAATAAAACAAGTGAGTGCAAAAGGGCAAGTGAACCTGAATTCTTAAAGGGAGAAATGTTCTTAAGTGTGTCTATGCCTTGTTTACACTTATCTTTAAAAATCACAAACAACTTTATAAAAACAACAACAAAACCCAAAAAACCTATCAAAAATACTTGAGGCTAAAGGGCAGAAGTCCCTTAGAGACTACATGGGTAAGCACTGATCCTATGTAATCCTCCCCTCTCTAGGCTCTTTCTTCACAAAATCTCCACATGGATGGGGATTTTGAACACCAGGAACAAGCTCTTACTTCACAGTCTTTCATTATGCACGCCAGCATATTACCTAGCAAACTAATGATATTCCACAGACCCTTGTTCCCAGAAATGTAATTTAAAGAAACGTGTCTGACTGAATAATGGTTGTTCAATAACAATATCATAACAAGTTTGCACAACCATCCCAGGGGGTACTGGCTGTACTCACACTACCTGTTGTTAGGTTCAAGAGCAATCTGTCTCTCTCTTCTACAATGAGGCAGGACTGTTTTCAGATAGAGACTGCTCATGATGAAATAGGGACAATTTTATTTAGGAAGTCAAATATTTACCAACCCAGAACATTTTGGCACCGAAGTATGTAGAGTTACATTCAATATTTCCATGCAATTCTCCTGTACTTAGAGGTTTCTCATTTTGTATGCTGGAGGGGAGGGGGATTGTGGCAAGAAATACAAACTTAATGATGCTGAGAAAAAGATACTATAGTTTCTTCAACATCTTTAGACAACAACAAAAACCACTGTTCTTAGGTTCTGAATCCTTTCATTATTATTCTGGCTTCCTCAACCAAAACAAACCAGAACAATTAAAAATAATTAAGCAGAAGCTTGAAGATCTGGAGCCTAGACTTTGAATAACAGCTCAGTAACAACAGCACATGGCCTCTTAAATCAGCCAAAGACCAGGTATACAAGGGTGCTTAGCTCACCATGGAAAGGAACAAAAGGTTCAAATCCATTTCCGTGCCCCAGATTAACAACTGGATACTGTTGGGACAGGGAATAGAACACATTTTTTGCTACTAATTTAGAGATTATCATGCCTAAGAGTCAATTGGAAAAAAAAAGAAGTCTTTTCTATGTAATTGTTCTTGAAACAGATGTTTGTTTTTTGTTTTTGTCAACTTGACATAAACTAAAGTCATCTTAAGGAACCTCAATTGAGCAAAAGCCTCAATTAAATCAGACTGCAGGCAAGTCTGGGGGGTGCATTTTCTTAACTAGTGACTGACGTGGGAGGGCCCAACCTATTGTGGACTATCTATCCCTGGGATGGTGGTCTTGGGTGCTATAAGAAAGCACGCTGAACAATCCATGAGGAGGAAGCCAATAAGCAGCACTCCTCCATGGACTCTACATCAGGTCCTGCCTCCACCTTCCTGCCCTGTTTGAGTTTCCATCTTGACTTCCTTTAGTGATCAACAGTCCGAGGAAGTATAAGCTAAACAAACCCTTTCCTCCCCACCTGGCTTTTTATTCATGGTGTTTCATCACTGCAATAGAAATACAATAAGACACAGAGTTTGAAGATTTGGATGCTGATTTTTTTCTTTCTTAATTGAACCAAGCAAATACCCTCATTGACTAATTTGATAAGTGCACGTACGTGTTCCCCAGAAACAGCGCAGTTACACATTTTATTCTATCTTAAGATAACTACACAGTATCTTAAGTGCATGCTGTGGATTTGTTGTTAAAAGTTTCCCTTCAATCCAGGAATACTGACACACTTGTCAGATGAGGAAGCGATATTTAGTACTGAAGATACCTTTACAAAGGGTAAATTTTCTCAGCGTAGTAAACAACCATCTTTACAGAAGAACCCACACAGACAAGTAAATGTCCACAACCTGTTTGCATACATCTGTGGTTTTCAGAAGTATAGATCACAATTACTCCTTACTTTATTATTTGCTGTGTTTTTTTCAAAATAATTACTTCGTGTAATTATGTGTCTATGTCTGTCTGACTCCTCACCCCCGGTGTGTGTGTGTGTGTGTGTGTGTGCATGTGAACATCTTTGAAGAGCTAAGAGATGGTTTATTCCCTGAAGCTGGAGTTACAGTCAGTTCTGAGCTGCCCTACATGGGTTCAAGAAACAGAACTATATTGGATGACTTTAGTTGGGAGGTAAAAAACTCAGGAAGTGACTATAATAACATTTTTTAAAAAATGCAATGGTGATGCTAGGGAGGAGTTTGGACTTTCTATTTGGAGGGTTATGGCAGAGAGTGTATCAGTCTTACTAAAGCAAGGAAAACAGGAATCTTATATTTAGAGAAAATCTTCTTAAGTCATAGATAATGAATGCACATGACTGCACACCAGTGGATTTGTCATGAAGGAGGAGATACTCACAAGTAAGTGTCTAGATCCAAAGGACATGGCAGGAGTGTTTCGTTACTGGTGTTGAACAGAATCCTATCAGTGCTTTAATGAGTTTAGAGTTCTGGATGCTTTTTCAGGCTCTCCCTTAAAGTTTTCCTGTTTAGCACTCTTAGAGCAAGGCTGATGTTTATAGAACCTTTGTGCTATAGAGCTAGCTGCTAGTGAGTAGCCCTGGACAACTGTCAAGTTAGTGAAGCATGACTGTGTTGTTCCCAGCAAGGCATGCCACACTTCTGCAGAAACAGCCCCACCCTGCAGCTCCAGGAAGCTACACAGTTGCACAGTTCTTGGCACACTAGCCAGTGGTCCTCCCTGGTGACTGTATTCAGCTGCCTCCACAGGTAGAGAGTTCAGAGGCTGCAAACAGCAGCTGTTGGGACAATTATCCCCCACAGACATGTTTTATTTGGCTTATCCGAGTATTTGGCATTTGGTTTTTGGTTTTTTATAAAACTGGGTCAACATATAAAAGTCAGGTGATTATACAAATAAACCAGATATTTGATTTTTTTTTTCTTGAACTATAAGAAGATCTGGTAGCCCTGAACCCAGTTCCATATAGTAACTATGGAAAAGAGCTGAGGAAGACTGTCATTCACTAATAAGTCTCTGCTTTCCACTTAGCTATAGTCCCCTCCCCTGGGCCCAATTCTCTCACTCAGTCACCTCTGGACCCTGCAGGCTGTGCCTGTGGACCATGGTAGAGATCTATTCGAGTAGCTAGTCAGCAAACTCTAATTACTTGTAAAGCAATGGCAGCACCCTTCTCTCCTGTAGAGAAAGCTAACTATTGTAACAAGTGGAGCTAAAGGGTCACTAAAGTATACTATTAAATTTCTAAGACAAAAATGTGCTCACATGAGAAAACAAAATATGTTGAATTACTCAACAAAATGTACTTCAACCAAGAAAAGCTAACACATATTAACACACACACACACACACAGAGAGAGAGAGAGAGAGAGAGAGAGAGGCACTCATTATTTTCCTCCTGGGAAGTGGGCAATTGACTATAAAGCACTTGTTTGGTTTCTATATTCTTTTGAATTAGGTTCCCCATCTGCTTTTATTAAAAGAGTAGACCAACTATTAAGATTAAGTCTTAACCTACAAAATCTTCTCAATTGCTAATTAAAGGACACCCTCCTTTGTGTATTTGCATTAAGTGATGGTTATAGTATCTTCTGAGAGGCAATATGGAACACACACTCTGTCTGATAAATATTTAACTCTCTAAATAATCTAGCTCTTTTAGATGCTGTGGTGTCTGCATGTGAGGTCAAGAGCTATGGCAGCCTTCCTGAGACCCCAGGAAAGACACTGAGCCACACTGAGGATGGCAGAGTGGGAGGGAGGAAGTACTCCAGTCTCAAGAGCGATGGCATTCTTACTACTGTAACAAGCTTTATAGTAGAAATGATTTATCTCGTGCACTTCAGTAAATGAAATCCATAGATTATGTGCCTCATGCATACATAATTTTAACATAAAAGATCTTAATAATGTTCTATTTAAATATCTCTAACAATATTGAATAAGTGCAGTTAAGGGCCTGATTACAACAGAAGATGAAGTTTAGACCTTTGCAACCACTTATAGTGTG